GTGACTAAAGGGTGTTTTTTCATGTCCTCTATGCTCTAACTACGAAAATATTTGATTTACAAATAAGGAATCCTACTTCGCGGAATTTCATTTATAACGGTAGGGTCTAGAACCGATTAACCGTGATAAATGAGGGTTCACTGTACTACCCTCATTTAACAGACAAGGCGATCAAGATGCAGAAAGTGGTAAGACCAAGACCCCACATGACAAGACCTTCGATGACAAGAGCTAGGATGCACACGCAGACCTCCTTACCTCCACGCCAGTGACAGGCCGAAGCCAGTCGGCCCACTCTAACAGCTCAGGGTTTTCTCCAAGTCCTGAGAGCTGGGCATCAGCCTCGTGGGGGGTCGGACAACGTCCCGGAGTGCTGCGAACGGTCGATGCTCATCTCCGACTAACTGAGTGCAAGTAAAATGTCACTGAAGATCGCCGACAGGCCACTGCCCTTTCGGTGAACAGCTCAATGTGCAATCCACTCTGCCACTGAGGCTCCCGGTATGTACACTAGCCAGGAAGAAGCTTGGAATTCTGCACGGATCACCAAAATGTGACACAGAAACACGGCGTGAGCACATGCTATTGGAAACATGCCGCCGGTAGACTGGCTCAACACAGGGTTGCCACGAACCTTCGATTTGTGTTCTTTTAAAAACGCATTATCTGCAGAGCACAGGAAAGCAAAGAGCGATAAAATGAAGTGTGCCTGTGGAAATCGTCTATGTGACTGCCAAACACAGGTTGGCCCAAACTACATACACGCCTTGTTCCAAGAGTTTGTGTAAGTTGTCGTTACTGTGGTTGTTATTTAAAGCATATCCTTCCACAGACATAACAAAATGTTTATGGTAATTAGGATCCTACTCGGGCCTACAGATGTCGGTGAGGCCATGACGTCATGTTCATCCTAGAAGCAGGGTTTGTGCTGGGGCAGGGGGAAAGGGAGGCAGGTAAAACAAGGCAGCATTTCGGCTTTCTGCTTCCTAGAACCCGGGCTGGCAGCTTGGGATGCTTCTCCCCAAGGTCCCAAAGCATTGCCTCACTCAGCCCTCTACTCCCCAGATTGCAACACAGATGAGGACCCCCAAAACCAATTGCCGAGGAGTCCGCTGTGCCCCGCGCGGGCCCCTGGCTGCAGAGGAGAACTGTGTTCTGCGGGTGTTCACAGCAGACTTTGGGAAGAAGTTCTCCAAGGCACCCCAGGCGGACCCAAACCTCCAACCTCGTGTTAGCAGCCCATCATTTGGCCCCACGAGTGACTCTCTTGAGTCTCTCAAGTGCCCAAAGCCAGACCTAAGGATTCTCTTTTCTCTCTCATCTCCAAATGCTAATCCTCAGTGCATTGAGAGTACTTTGTGTAAAAATCACTCCAGCAGTCAATAGGCAGCAGTCCTTGAACCTACTTCAAGGTGTTTCTATGGTCAAATGCTTTAAGGCACATTTCAAGACGCATCGGCCCCTCGATGGTAAATTCCCGGGCCCAGCCTGCACTACCTTGGTCCTCTGCTGAGGAGCTTCTTCTTCCAACCGCAAGGTTTCTAAACAGACATGGTGTTTTGTTCTGCTTTGCTTTGCTTTGTTTTACAGGACGATGGGCCTTGGAGGGAGGGGGCAGTGTTGCCTGGGGGAAGCAGGCAGGAGTGGTACTTGGAAACCAGAGATTGTCAGACAATACCTTGAGCCCTCCATTTGCAGCACCCAATCCAACATCCTGTAAAGCCAACGCCAGTGGCCCGTGCTGGGGTCATGCAAGCCAGAACAAGGTCCTCCCAATACACAGGGAAATAAATTGTGGGGGGAGGGAAGCACTTTTCTCATAGAAGCACCTGTTAATCGTGGCCCTGGGCAGGGTTTGGTCATCGAAGAAACAAAACCGGCAAGGTCAGAGTGAGAGACAACCCCGGTGTGGAAGTCAAGTCCTCCAGGGTCACACCTCCCTCCGTGTGGCCTGTGAAACTAAAAGCATTGACAACTTTGTCCGCATCCACCCCCAATCCCACCCCCACACAACACTTCCCATAAATTGTTAGAAAGGCTTACACGGTATAGGCATATGCAGGCTGCCCTTTTATGGTTGGCCACTGCAGCCCTACAGCCAAGCCAGCCCATCGAGGGGTGTAAAGGCTTTGGAGATGAACCGCTTCCACCACAAATCAAAAAACCATTTTCAATTCGAAAGGAGGCAGAAGCATGGGAGCCACTGTGCGAACAGAGAGCCCCGACGTCTGAAGCAGGCCCACGGCTCCCCCAAGGCCACAGCTGCAGATTGAGAAGACAGGGGTGCAGTTAGGAAAGATGCTTGCACAAGCTGGAGATCGGGACAGATTAAAAAAAGGAAGAAGAAGAAGAAGAACCAGTTCAGGGTGCAGGGAGAGGTGCAGACAGGCCGTGCTGAGCTAACGAGAGGAAGAGAATGAGCCTGTGATATAGAGCTAACTAGGTCACCCTAACCCCGAGCTGGCCCAGAGGAGGTTTCAGGCTGAGTCTGTTGGTTAACACCAGTCCCACATGGATTAATCACCCTCCTCGGGGGAGCAGAGGCTGAAAGGCTAACCGCACCCTCCAAAGCTACGCAAATGGCCTCTGAGGGGTGCTGCCCCAGCATGGCAGGGGACTAAACGAGAGAACCCGTGCACCGACACTGAGCAGTGTCAAGAGCCAGAGATTGTACCAGATGAGGTCAGTGTACCATCCTCCTCAGTTAAGCCTCCTCACAAGCCACTAGGCCAGTGGTTCTCAACCTGGGGGTTGAGACCCCTTTGGGGGTCTAATGACCCTTTCACAGAGGTTGCCCAATTCATAACAGTTGCAAAATTACAGTTATGAAGTAGCAACAAAAATACTTTTATGGTTGTTGGGGGGGCGGTCACCACAGCATGAGGAACTGTGTCTCGGCATCAGGAAGGTTGAGAACCACTGCTTTAGGCGCCCTGGTGGCGTAGTGGTTACACATTGGGTTGCTAACCACAAGGTCCAGAGTTTGAAACCACCAGCAGGTCCTCAGTCAAAAGACGGCACTTTCTACTCTGTGAAGGATTTACAGCCTCAGAAGCTCACAGCAGCAGGTCTACCCTGTCCTCTAGGGCTGACGAGGGTCAGCACTGACACGATGGCAGTGAACTGGCAGCTTGAGGACAGTCCTGTGGTTGGGTGTAAGACGGTCTCCCATTTTACAGACGGGACACGAGACTCAAACTGCTGGACGAATTTGCCAAGAGCCCTGCAGCTAAGATGCGATGGGCCCCAGACACTGACCCGTGTCTGTGTGACCTCAGAGCCCAGACTCTGAGCTATTGACCGTATTGTGGAGAACCCCCAATAATGACTCTCCCTTGGCTCGGTGAAGAATTGTTTATGATTTCTTAAATCACTCTTGGGGAGGTCAAAGAGGCTCCATCCTGCACATTTACGAGAAGAACTTGCAGAAATCCATTTCCAACAGAGAGTGGCAGGCTGTTCTCCGCCGTCCCAGCTTTGCAATCATGAGCGCAGGCAACCGCCGCTACTGAGGGCAAGAAGGGCATGGGGACTGTGTACTCAGTCCCAGGCAACCCATGTGTGTCCCTGTCCTTACAACGGTTCTTCCACAGGCAGCGAATTCCACTCCTCCATTCACTCAGAACGATGAGGAAAGGGGCCCAGTCGCACGACTACAAAGGGCTGGGTTGGAATTAGCCTTCCGGTCTGTCT